GACGAAAGAAGGGTACGAATGGGGAGTCTCCAAGAAATCAGGCAAGATGCAGATTGTAGAAGCGCTTCTCCAAATGTGGAAACGATTCGGGCATAAGACACTTTTATTCAGTCAAGGTATTCAAATGCTTGATATCCTTGAGGCGTTTGTAAGGCGCCTAGGGTACATCAATTACCTGCGAATGGATGGCGGCACTGCTATCAAAGATAGGCAGAGTCTCGTTGATCAATTCAACAACACCCCGGAAATCGACCTCTTTTTACTAACCACAAAGGTTGGCGGCTTAGGAGTGAATTTGACTGGCGCAAATCGGGTTATTATCTTTGACCCTGATTGGAATCCTTCAACAGATGTTCAAGCCCGGGAACGAGCATGGCGTCTTGGCCAGAAGAAAGAAGTCACAATTTACCGACTTATGACGGCTGGTACAATTGAAGAGAAGATGTACCATCGTCAGATCTTTAAACAATTCTTAAGCAACAAGGTATTAAAAGATCCGAAACAGCGCACTACTTTCCAGCTTCAAGATCTCCATGACCTCTTTACGCTAGGATCTTCCGGAGACAAAGTGACAGAAACAGGGAAGTTATTCGAAGGCTCGGAAGTTCAGTTTAGTAGCACTTCGACTAAAGATGGCTCGAACCAGAAGGCCGGCGAGGCAGCAGAACCTACGGAGATACAAAGTAAATATATTAGTGAAGACGGTGATCGTGATCTCCATACTATAGCAGGTGTAGCTGCTCTCGAGGACTACGAGCCTGACCCCGATACAAAGCCGGCACCGACGGAGGAAGACCGGATCATGGAAGGTCTTTTTGCCCGGTCTGGCGTACATTCGGCACTCGAACATGATAAGATAGTTAATGGTAAGAAACAACTAAGAGCCGACCCAAGATTGCTTCAGCAAGAAGCAGATCGCGTGGCGGCACAGGCAGCTGCATCTCTTCGACGAGCAGGTGAGCAGACGCACTCGGTGCCTATTGGCACTGTTACCTGGACCGGTGAAGTGGGCGAGGCCGGTAGACCATCTAATATCCGTAGGGGTCGCGGCGGCCCTGGTTCAGCTAGTATCTTGGCCGGGTTAGCTGATAGACAAGGACTGAGCTCACCCGCAGGCAGTTCTCGCTCGGGATCAGCAACGCCTACGCCAGCCAGAGGAACAAACTTAGGGGCCAAAGATTTCGCGAAGATGATCCCGGAATTTATCAAAGCCCACGGCGGCAAGGTCCCCACGAAATTACTGGTTGACCATTTCAACCAATTCTGTATTACAAAGAAGCAGTCTGGCGACTTCAAGACAGCCCTGGACCGGGTTGCTCAAATGGAGAAAAGGGGGTCTACTATGAGGGGTATCTGGGCCCTTAAGCCAGGACATTGATTGATCGGCGTTGACGTAATTATTGATCTAAGAATAACTTCGTTTTAGATGGGAGACTTCGAGGGCGAGTCTTCATGATCGGTTTAGCAAGGTGTTGCGGTACGGTCTATATACTTCAGCATAGCACAGGCGCATATATATTGCTTCAATCAACGTAATGAATTTATCTTGATCGATACTATAATTCCTACGGGCTCTTCATTACAGTGTTATGCGAGTTATAATAAATCACGTAGGGAGATGGTAAAAGAATAGGATTTTAGTTGGATCAATGTTTTCTCATTTCTGTAGCCGTGCCAAAAGGCATCATGTGACAATAAGCATAGCTACCTCCCGAAGTATCATGGAGACCAGGCATGTCTTATTCCTTTCTAGATGCACGCCGTTCTCCTCGTAATTGTCAACGCCACAGAGATGAAGAAGTCTTCGTGCCAACCCTTGATTCCGCCGATCATTGCTTCTAGATCGCCCACCAAAACCACCAGCCGCAGCCGGTTGATATATAGGTAAATATGGCGCGATCACAGACGACGACCACGGCGACCACCCTTTCTGCGGGTGCTGTCGGAGGGAGTGGGGGTCACATCCTCGATACGGCCAATCTTCATGCCGGAACGGGCAAGAGCACGGAGAGCAGACTGAGCACCGGGACCGGGAGTCTTGGTACCGTTACCACCGGTGGCACGGATCTTGATGTGGAGGGCGTTGATGCCGAGCTCCTTGCAGCGGGCGGCGACGTCCTGAGCTGCCAACATGGCGGCGTAGGGGGAGGACTCGTCACGGTCGGCCTTGACCTTCATACCACCAGTAACTCGGGTGATGGTTTCGCGGCCACTGGAATCACCCAGAATGTTAGCCTATGAACCACACACACGAACTTTGTCAAGAGGACATATATAGAAGTCATATGTATCCAAGTATGGCGAGAGAAGGGCGTAGAATTCGTTCCTTCTCATTCGCTTATACCTCTTAACCTCGAGACAACAGGGATTGATTTCGAGCAAATTGTTTAGACGAACCTGAGATCGGTGACATGGACGAAAGTGTCGTTGAAAGAGGCGAAGATACGGGCAACGCCAAAGACGAGCTCACCTGCGAACGCGGGGCACGTTAGCAAATCTGACGATGTCTTACACTTTCAAGAGGATCTTATCTCTCACCTTCACGGACCTGGGGTCCGAGGGAGATGTTCTCCTGAGCGGGACGGGTGGTCTTCTTGGGAGGCATGGTGAATGATCTTTTGGTGTTGGTGGGAAGTTGGACTTCGGGGTGGATTGACGGGTTGTTGAAGTGAAGCTTGACCGCGAGTTTTTTTTTCCTTCGAGAGAAATCGATCCTTCACAATAATTCAGTGTGTTGATTTGTGGGGTGGGAGAGAAGCGCGGAAAGGCGGCGGTGGGAGATGGCAGAAATAATTAAAAGTGGATTAACCCTAACACCTTTCCGCTTCTCGCTTGGGGCGGTCTGGGCGGTGTACTTAGTTACTTAGTAACAGCGCACAGCTTTGACCAACCCCCGCCTAAACCATTTTTGGTCACATCAACTAAAGAGTCCCGCACTAAAACTTTACCAAATTTTCTCTTGCCCTTTTTCCTGAAAATTTCTAACCTTTCCACATCCCAAACCCGAGTCGACAACCCACGACCAAACGGCCATCGCCCAATTCGACAACAATGGTTGCCATGTATGATAAACCTTTCTAGTTTCTTGTTCTTGTTCTTGAACGAGCGAAACGATATTCGGTCCTATGGATTTTGCAGATTGTCGTGGTCTTCTCGGCTGGGTTGCCTTGTTCTCCTGAACACCTGAAAATGGTGCGAAGAGACATCGCAAGCCAGCTCGATCTTTCCCGGACTTCTCCCTCTGTTTTTCAGGCTTGATATATAGCTTGGATACAGAGAGATGTTGCTTTGGGGTGTTGGAGATGAAGGCCTGGCCCTTCTCTCTCAAATTTATTTGCCGCTTTCACTATCAGTAGACGGTCAAGAAAATTGCTGTCAATATGGCTGGTATAGAGCGAGCATCTATCCTGGACTTATGTTCAAGGCGTTGTCGGATGAGGGGGAATGCTATGAATACAGCCGCACTTCTTGAAAGAGATTACGGGCTCTAGCATCTCACCGATCAAAAATTTCCCACCGAGTTAGCTACCGCTGAGAATGTCGCGTGCAGTCGGCAATTCTCCAACCGGCGCTCTATTCATGCAATTATGCATAATTGTAGACTACGTACTAATCTGATTTGACAACAGTTCCGTTCCTACCAAGGACCAGGTCCTCGTCCCCGAGACCCTCCTCAAGAAGCGCAAGAGCCAGGAGAAGGCTCGCGCTGAGAAGTCCGCCGAGCTTGAGCAGCGCAAGAAGGTTAGTCATTTCTATTAAATAAAAAAACGAGATAGCGACGTGATGCACAAAACCACTTGCAACTAGACAAGGTCAATGCTGTTGCAAAATACCATCTTTCGGGTCTGATCGACAAATCTATACATATATTGTCATATGCTTTTATGTACATGGATTAAAGGCTGACATTGATGCATAGCTCAACAAGGAGAAGCGCTCCGTCATCTTCAAGCGTGCTGAGAAGTACGTTAAGGAGTACCGCGATGCCGAGCGTGAGAAGATCCGCCTTCACCGCCTCGCCAAGCAGGAGGGCAGCTTCTACATCCCTCCCGAGGAGAAGCTGATCTTCGTCGTCCGAATCAAGGGGTATGTTCATTCTAACATTCCCAATACAATCAAATATTTTCTAACAAACGAGTAGTATCAACAAGATTGCCCCCAAGCCCCGCAAGATCCTCCAACTCCTCCGTCTCCTCCAGATCAACAACGGTATCTTCGTCCGTGTCACCAAGGCTACCGCCGAGATGATCAAGATCGTCGAGCCGTGGGTTGCTTACGGTTACCCCAACCTAAAGAGCGTCAAGGAGCTCATCTACAAGCGCGGATACGGCAAGATCAACAAGCAGCGCATTCCCCTTACCGACAACTCCATCATCGAGGAGAACCTCGGCCAATACGGCATTGTCTGCATTGAGGATCTCGTCCACGAGATCTACACTGTCGGCCCCAACTTCAAGCAGGCCTCTAACTTCCTATGGCCCTTCAAGCTCAGCAACCCCAACGGTGGTTTCCGAACGCGCAAGTTCAAGCACTTCATCGAGGGTGGTGACCTTGGCAACCGAGAGGACAAGATCAACGCCCTCATCCGACAGATGAACTAAGTTTAAGGGTTAAGGGTTAAATGGGTCTGGTATTAGGGGGTTTGCTTCTGTGCATGGTTCACGGCGTTCATAAAAGCTTCGGATGCTACCAACGAATTGAGAATTTATGATCATGGCAACCCCGTACTTTCGTCTGTCCCTTACTGTCTAGTCGTGAATAGTAGCATGAATAGTATATTTCTCGTGAAACCTTGCCGGGATATTTCCACCAGTCTTCAAGGACCTTTAAATCCTTAATTCATAATAAGTCGCCGACATCTAAGTCACCATGATAAGGCTTATGGTGGTAGGTACACGGGGCGCATTATATTAGAGAAGTGCCTATTAAAGTAAACCTGGCGCAAATAATTGCTTATAGGTTTATTTATACTATGACTTACAGTAATAAAAAACCTTAGATCGGTTAGAAGAAGTCGAGATTGTGATTTATAATATTAACGTATTCTATGTCGTGATAGTAGAATATACAGGTGTCTCCCAATGAAAAGTATGATACCACCACCAATTTCCGAGGATCTCATCCCCCCTTCTTTCTTCTTTCATGCGAATATTCTAATATAAACTGTGAATGGTAGACAAATATACACAAGTGCCCTCGGCCAAATAACGAGGCATCCAAGGACTCGAAGACCCAGACTAAAAGCGGAAATGTTATATCTTGATGTCGAAGCTAGTGCCGCATCCGCAGCTGCTTGTAGCGAGTGGATTATCCACGATCTTGAACTGGCTCCCGATCAGCTCCATAGTGTAGTCCACCTTACTCCCCTTCAGCAGCTCCAAACTCGGCGAGTCGAGGATGATCTTGGGCGTTGCTACGCCCGTTAGGTCTAGAGACGGCCCGGACGAAGATGATGGGGATGATGAGGAGGGGGGCGCGGAATGGGGATCTGAAGAAGAAGGGGGGAGGTCGTCTTTCACAAATGCGAAGACGGTATCGTCCTCGCTGATGCTGGGCGCGGAAGGCGCGGCGCTGGTGGTTGTTGAGGGGGCGACTTCGGCGGTGATTTTTTGCCCGTCCTCTTGGTTGGCGGGGGCGGGAGGGGTAGATGAGGTTTCGGGGGGCGGGTGCGCGGATGCTGTCGAGTCCGGGGTGCAGGGCAGGGAGGGCGGAAGAGTGGTTAGGGACATTAGGTATTGGAACCCGTGGCACCCGCCGGATTCGACGGAGATGCGCAGCGCTAGGTTGGGGTTTTTGTCTTTGACCATGATTTGCGAGAGTTTCTGGAGGGGGGGGTTGGTTAGCCTGATAGAGTCGCGACAGAAGAAATAGGAAGGGTGGGAAAAGGCGTGTGTGTGTGCGCGTGTGTGTATGTATGCAAGACTCACGTTGGCGGCGCGCGGTGTAATCTCCAATATCATATCGTTGCCGTCCTCGTCCTTCTGCGGGTTATACACGACTTGGGTCTTGCGCCAGGGCGCCGTGGCGCTAAAGTGTCGTCGAGCGGTACCATACGGGACATGCGATATACCTCCGGTCCCGTCATTCCGGACCCGGGGGTTTCGCGCCCGCCCACGGATGTCCCGTGCGAGGTGGAAAGCTCGGGTGCGCGGCGGCAGCAATACGTCGAGAATGGAAGTGCTGCTGCTGCTACTGTTGCCGCTACTACCTATAGGCGACGACGATGCGCATAGCAAGCGCACGAATAATCTCGCAGCGGAGGGCGAGGACCCGTGGGTGCAGCGTACGGCGAGCGGAGGCGGCATTTTCGGGGCTGGAGGTTCAAATTAAAGCGTTGCCGGAGAAGATGTGGGCGTTTCTAAGCAAAAGATTTCTTTTTCTTTTTTCTTGTTTCTTTTTTTTTTTTTTCTTTTTGAAGTGGGATGATGTCAAGGTCAAGGGTCAGTTTGAGCTCAGCGAAAAGCGGCACAGAAAAGCCAATTGTGTTAGTGCAGGCATTAGTAATTAGTAATGGGAGAGCCAATTATGTAACCGCAATTGTAAATGCAGGAACGTTGATTATAGGCAGTACCTAGGTAGTTCGTAGAAAGTTGACCCGGAAGGTTCACCTCGAGCAAGGGTGAGAAGACAATTCGGTTAAGAGAGTATATGCATTGGAGGGAACATTATACAAGTAACATGATTAATAAATCTACGTTCTTTATCTAAACACTCAATTTTTAAAAGTACCTAATATTCTAACTTCACCATGATCAATGGTGTTGAAGAGTTATGTATACTTATGAGCGACAGCAACCATCAAGACGGTATGAATGAATAAACCTTTCTCCAACTCATCCCCGATCTCAATTCATCTTATTGGAGATAAGTTATGTATCGAGTCCCATTTTCATACGAGGCGACAAGATGTTTGGGTGTAGGTGTAGAGAAAAAGGAGAAAAATAACCCCCCCATCCCTATCACCGATAAACATTCATCAAGTAATATATTGACGTTTACTTTAGTCTCCTAAAAATAAGACAGACCCCTTTCTCTCCGCATCTGGACCCCTAAATGATCGTATCTCAATCCGGCATCCCGTCGTGGCTATTATCAACCTTTACTCCGACGGCAAGGTCCTAGATATCATCCATCCCGCGCCTAGCAGACAAAGAGAGATATCGAGGCATCTCGGCGTTTGCTGTCGGCGATTACGTGCTGGCGAGGAATAAGTTACATAGCTCATCAGAGACATTTATTTCTTATCGAACACGTCTGTCTGCCTGTCTAGCTCAGACGCCAGGAATGTACTGCGTCTACGTTATGGACCCTCTAGCGTGCATCGCTCCCGCCGGAAACAGGTCGTTCTCGTTCCGCGGGAGTACTCGTTCCCTTAGGTATCATGCAGGCACGGATAACCTCGACGGGGCGCGGCCTACGTGCCGGACATGATTGAATTGGGGACGTCTGGCCGTCGATTTCGCATATCCTTCTTTTTACCCGACGACATCCTTATTCTACCGGCTATATGGCCCACGGATTCCCAGCGCCTAACAACCCCCACGAGCAGGGCCCGCCTCTTCAAATATATTGCCTGCCTGCCGGGCGGAAAGGAAAGGAAACACCCTGGATTCTGAAATATTTTTTTTGATTAATTCTCCTACCAGAGACAGGGTTCCGAGCGGAGTTATTTGGAATCAAAGCTAGAGGCTAAGGGGTTACAAAAGAGCGCCTACGCCCAGCTAGCTTAACTTAGCCGTCGTGTGAGACACACGGACTGGATATAAGCACTTCGATAATTCCTTCAATAATTCCTCCCTGACGATTAGAATATACCTTTTTATTTCTAATAACCGCTAATCCTGTCAAAATGTACTCCCAACTCCTTCCTCTCGCCGCCCTGGCCGCCACCGTCTCTGGCCACGGTCTAATAACGACACCTACTCCCCGCGGCCCAGGAGACGCTTCTTCCGCCGCATGCGGATCCTCCGTCGTCGCCAACATCAAGGGCGACCTGACCTCGCACGTCGAAGGCCTACCCGAGCTCGCCGCCGAGGACGCCGGATACCACGGCGAGCTCTGCAACCTCTGGCTATGCCGCGGCCTGCAATACGCCGACAACGCCGCCAACGTGCAAGCCTACAAGCCCGGCCAAAAGGTCACCATCGAGGTGCAACTGACCATCCCCCACGCCGGCTCCGCCAACGTGTCCGTCGTCGATACCAAGACCAACACCATCATCGGCGAGCCTCTGCTCACCTGGCCTTCCGGCTACGCCGACGAGCGCCAGTTCTACGCTCACCAGACCCCTGCCAACCAGACCAAGTTCGACGTTACTATCCCCGAGGACCTCGGCTCCAAGTGCGCCGACGCAGGTTCTTGTGTAAGTTAACAACCTTGAGACTTGGGATGTTGTTTTGTATTGTGTTATATTATATTACATTGTAGCTAATAGACCGTGTGTACCTATAGGTCCTTCAGTGGTGGTGGTACGGAACGGGAGCGAAGCAGACTTACGAGAGCTGCGTCGACTTCACCGCGTAAGGGCCGCCGTACCGACGATACCAGTGGGGCCATGAAGGGGTATTTTGGGGCAGAAACGATACATATAGGAATAGATGCGAATAGATATCTCTTAAGGGAAATATTGAATATCAGGGTCAAATTTTAGCTGCCTCAGATGAACCCGTGTCGTATGAGCATCGATGGCAACATTATTGAAAGCTTATACAGACGTCGTCTATACTATCAAGACCGATGAAGGTTATGTTTTCAATAGTTTATTCTGTTTATGAACTACTCGAGGAAATATTTTGGTACTGCAAATAACAGGACGAAAGCAAATTATATAAAAGCGCGGATACTCCTGAACACATCACGGATCGTCCCAAGATATAACCCCAAACCTCCCTATTTTCCCTCGTTACTTGTATACGACGTTACGTGAAATAGCGTCCCCGATATTAAGTCGAGTGAGCCGGCCCCGGTCATCCTCAATACCTACAGATTTCCACATTCCATCCCACGCAACACCCCATCCCCATTCCCATCCCCCATCCCGACAGTTAATTCACAAGTTAGTATGGAGGGTTAGGTCCACCGATTGAGGAAGGAGGAGGGGGATAGTCCTGCTCAGGCCGTCCACCCGCCACGGAGCCCGATCGTCCGTCGCCAAAGTGCTTCTTGCGTAGAGCAGCAAGACGCTTCTTCTTGGTCATGGTGTTAATATACGTGCCGATGGTGAAGGCGACGACGTTAAAGAAGGGAACCCAGGCGGCCTCAGGTAGGAAGGCCTGTGCGAAAGCAAGGCACAGCGGCGAGCTAATCCAAGATACCTTCATGACCTTCATAAAGCTGACGCGTACCGTTGCTCGGACCTGGTGATAGGTTCGGGCACCGGCGATGAGAGCCATAGCTACGAGGTAGACAGAGTTTTGGATCGGAGCAACCTAGTTGATGCACGTCAGTTATGCAGTTAGTTTAGGTGGCGGTCTGGGGAACACACTATAAGGTTGCTAATAAGAATCTGGAGAATCTTGGCACGGAGACTCGTGCGACCCTTGAAAGCCTTCTGAAGACACCAGATCAGGAAATGGCCTAAGGGCGCGCTGACCAGGGCGCCGTATGCCGCCATCTTTGGGACACGGGCCGTGAAATAGTTTCCATGCTTGTTGCGGTCTCTGGCTAGCCACGACGCGAGAAGCTCTTGTAGACCGGCGAGGGTTCCAGCCGTAAGCATCTTAGTCCGCAGCGGGTTTTTCTCCAGCTGATTAATGTAGGCCTAGTGAAAAAAAAAGCCGAGGTCAGCTCGATTGCGACTCGGCGAATCTTAAAAGTTAATGGTAGAAACATAAACCCGACGTACCATTAAGTAGCCCCTCGTGCCGGCATTTCGTTTACCTCCGGTGATCGCGGTACCGATCGCTTCTGCGATGGGATGCTTGCCGGTCGTGCCTGGGAGAGGGCCGTCACGAGGAATGTGCGCGAGAGCGCCGGGCACGGTCTCGGTCGCATGGCGGATCGTTTCTTTCTCGATCTTAAGCGACATGATCGCCTGAGTTTAGAGTTTAATCGATAACAGATGGTCTAGTCCAGAAAGTCTAAACAGGAATCGTGTTAGTGATGAAAGTTGCGGTCGGGAAAGAAAGGTGTTCGAGTTTGGACGGCGGGTACTCGGGACTTTGTTGGTGTCAATTGATTTGTTTACCTTGAGCTGACGGGGGGGCCTCGGTAGGATTATTTCGGATTTCGGGACGTGAATTTACAGGCTTTCGCGTATCTATCAATCAAAGCATAAGAATATTCTCGCAGGTGGAAGAAATGATAGCTAGCATTCTACATGAGGGCAGTGAGGGCAGAAGTCACCGGGAGGGAATTGCGGGTCTTTGGAAACTCATCCGTATCGGTCGGGTTTGAAAGATGAACAATCAGGATGCAGATTTGGTGGCAGATTGTGGAAGATGTGGAGGAGGTTGGTGAGGATGAGGTTGGACAAGGTTGGACAACAGGTCGGGCAAGTCTGGGGCCGCCAGCACCTGCTGAACCTTACTATGTGCTGAACCTTGCTGAACCTTGCTGGGACCTGGCTGGGTACCTTCCTCTCCTTGCGCTTTCTCATTCGCCATAGTTCCCTCTCATTCGCTCGTAAAGTCGCGACCAGGAGATGACCACGCCAAGGTGGGTCCCTTGCTTTTTTAGCAACCTTGAACCAAGGGGGATCAAGGGGAGGGGGGCATTAGTGCACCTACTGCACGACAGCTGCGATCCATAGAATCCACAAAACACTCGGGCTCGATCTATCTTGACCTTGAACGTGCCCCGCTCTTCATTGGTTCGATTAGCCGGTATGTTCGTTCTTCCGTGGTCTGGCTACTACTTCAGTACGATTGCACATGTATCTTCCTTTTTCGGTACGCAGCAAGAACCACAAGAACCACTAAGACCCAAAATCGCTTTACATGCACACCTTGAAGAATACCCTCTAATTGGTAGCTAATAGGATATGGAGAGCTATCAGGTACGACTACAGTGTTTATCACGCCACTAATGCATCTTTGTACGCCCCAGGTACGTAGGGGTGTGAGGGTGAAAATGACGGTATTAAATGACGAGTGATACCTACCGTGAAATAGGGTTTAGCCACGCAGTACAACCCACGAGTTCGGAAGCTAAAAAGGAAGCTCAGGGGAAGACGACGTCATTGGGAATAGCTTCAAGCGTGTAGTGTAAGCTACTCGACACTAATAAGTACCTAACCTACCTACATCTGTAAGGCACCTATCTAATTGGAATGGAGACTCATTGGAATGCTATAGGAAATGGAGCGAGTTTAGTTTGCGTTGTAGTACTTACCTTAGGTACCTAAATCTAAGGCAGCACCTACCTAAACTTTACCCACATAGTTTCATCGCCTACATGCACAAAGTACCTACTACTAGTAGATGTATTTTAGGCACCCAGGTAGGCCCGTACGCACCCAGTCAAACTAGCAATCGGAATAAACATTCGTAATTATTTCATCACTAGTTCTCCAGAGAAGTCCAGGCAACCTTGCGTCTTTGCCCCTCCATCTACCTATCCACAAATTCACATATCCGTCCGTGGGTCTCGAGTCTTAACATTCATTTCAGGTAATTTTTGACTTATAAAGTCCAACATATCAAGTACGGGATTTCTTGAAAACCACTTTCGTTTTTACTTTGGCTCTACGAAGCATAATAGCGTATTTCTCCCCCCCCATCAATACCAATTTCGTCAGTATTGATAGTAGTGGGGGAAATATTGGTCGTTTTGACCGCTCTATTGCTAGAATACTTTCGTCACTAACTAGGCGCATTCAACCCGGGTATTCTTTTCGCAGTGAACCAGCATATACCTTTTTTATCTCGGCACAAAATACCGCACAACAACTTCTATTCAGCATCATCTTTCTTTTGGTATATCCTCACGCATTAATACTCAAGCCATGGAAGGAGAACATCGACAGGGTCCAGTGGCACAGGAACCTCGGAGAGTCCCGCGAACGCCTCAACCATCACCTTATCGCGCCTTATGTTCTCATCTAACTATGACGCGTGCTTTCGATCCCAGGTTAACTTGTTCTAAGTGCGGTAAACCAGGCCAGTAGGGATGGCTCTGGAGATGCACCGAAGATCGAGAACTTATCATCGAACACGCCATAGAGAAGAAATACCAGGTAAGTTTTCCCTTCCCCTTAGTATTTTCTATAGCACACGTAATAGCTGACTAGCTTTTTTAGGTGTGTTTCGATCCCCTTGGGCGGAAATTCGTTGAGTTGTTAAAGAAGGTTCGGCCTGGACGTCCTCGAAGCATGTCGGAGCCGTTCGGCGTACTCAAGGAGGTCAAAAGTGAGCAGTTAAAGAGCTATACGCCTGACCAATTCTGCACCATCATCTCGCAAAGGGACCATGTATGTGTTCTTTTACTGGTATACAAGAACAATATATATGCTAATATATAAAATAGGTCCGTAATCTTGCACAGGCAGAATCGCCTACAGTCAATCCGCCACCGGGATTCCAGTTAGTTGAGGGCACCCCACCCTGGGTTCCTCCTCGGCATGAGGAATGTCGCTTCATATGCTGTCAAAGTTGTCGTCCTTCATGCGAAGCGAGATCCTATCTGAGTCTGGATGGTATTGCGAATGGTGATATACCACCCACTGCAGCTATTGGCTTCGGCTTCCATACTTTTTGTTTTAGGCCAATTATCCATCCAGATAGGCTGAAAAATATTGGCCTAAGGGCTGTACCTTGGGTATGATAACTTCACTTTTATTCTCCCCTATCCACTACTAACCTCAGTATCAGCCATTGGCTCATGATAGCCCGACATTATCGGCAGTGGGTCCATGGCGTAGTTCATGGAACAGTTCATGGGAAAGTTTGAACCTTGCTGACGGTCAAGTGAACGAGACCGAGCAGGTTAGACATGTCGAGGACGTTAAGGACGTTGAACATATTGAGGATGAGGACGCTGAGGATGTTGAACATGTTGAACATGTTGAACGTGTTAAATCAGTCCGATTCCAGCCCAACGGTACGAACGGTACTATCCCGTCAGTCCGACCAGTTCTTCGTGATTCATTTGAGGAGAGTGTCGAGTTTACAGTATCTGTTGGAAGCTCGATACCGCTCCTTGCTCCCCAAAAAGAAGAAAAGGCGCGTCTCTGCAGATCCCCTACCTAGTGATGGGAGAGGAGGTGAAGGAATGTTCAGAAGTTGACCATGGCATGACAGTCCCAAAGGAGGATGTTAGCTTAAAACTGTCTGACATCATCACTCAGCTATAGTCGGAAATATGTCATTGTTGGAACGATGCTCGGTTGATCCCAAACCTCATGCGCTGGCTTCGCCGGAAGACCGGTTGCCTGATACTATAGGATATGGACTGTGATTTGAAACCAAGCGTTTTGCACGCAAAGCCTAATGGCTAGTTAAATAGTTCGACAGCAGGTTTTGTTTCTAGCGCTAGTCAATAGTTTTTAATTGATATGATTTTCATCAATATCATTGTCTCTTTTCTATTGTCCCTCAGGTACCTAAGGTAGCTAGCTAAATGAATTGTCTTAAGTTTACAATGTCATGACCTCGATACATATGCGACTAGCTGGAGAATTGTTGGTAATCGCACGTGATAGCTGAGGCTTACATAGGTACTTGCCTAAGCAGCTAAGTAAGCAGGATCCGAGGGTTGTTAGCTCTTGAGACGCTAGAATGTTTCACAAGCTTTACCAAACTGCCAAATCAAAACAATGGATCGATGGTTGGGGGTTGGGGTATACCCTTGCATCCAATCGATATTTAATTGGCTCTTGTCAGTGGAGATTTTCGTAAAGCCTATTCAAATCTTAAAAGGGAATAGTAGATCCGCATCTAGACGCAATTCGGTACATCGTAATATCCTGGAAAGCTCTACGAAACCTGTCATAAGTCCGTTCGATGCTAATAGTGGATCATGAACAGCTTCAAAGCTAGTTGGTGTAGACACTCTCTACGCATGGTGTCGTCTTCTACAAGCCCGCGACAGGTTCCGACAGGATGGCTACGACGCGTTGCGGAAGATCAATCGGAACCACCGAGACTTTATGCTTGGCGGCTCACGAACTTGGCTGACGGCGCAAATTACGCCCGTAAATCGCTTGAAGTGGGAGTGGGAGTGGGAGTGGGAGTGGGAGAAATACCAACCCCAGACGATGAGCGCCGCCGCATATACATCCTAGGCGTCGGAAACATCGGTCGTCTGTACGCGAGCTTTCTTGCTAAGAATGATCCCCGGCCGCCGATTACCTTGGTCGTCCATCGGCGGGAACTCCTAGACCAGTGGAAAGCCCATCCGGGTATCGAGCTGGTGCGCGACGGTAAGACGGAGCGAAACCCCGCGTTCCGCATCGAATGGTGGACCGACGCTCAGCCGACGCACGGCCCTGTTAGGGAACCGGGCTCGGGCTACGGCATCAGCAATCTAATCGTAGCTACTAAAGCTCCGGATGCTATCCCGCAGGTCGACCGCGTGAGACGGTATCTCGATGGCCGGTCGACCGTCGCGTTCGCGCAGAACGGCATGTGTAAGCTCTGGCCGCCGCTGGGAGAAGTATACGTCGCGACGCGGTTTGGCCAAGGTAAAGAAGGTCCGCGCTGGCTTGCGTGCGTGACGACCCATGGCGTCACGTCGCTCGGGCCATTCCGTAGCGTCCATGCGTCGCCTGCGGACGTGCGCGTAGGGTCCGTGATGGTGCGCGGTGGGGATGGCCAGGTTGGCAATGGTAGTAATAATGGAGACGGAGATAAAGACAAAGATAAAGATAAAGATAAAGATGACTACCTGGCAGCGCAGATCGTCGGTGCGCCGGGGTTAGCTGCGCGGAGAGTCGCGACGCGGGAGTTGTGGGTGGCGCAGCTGGAGAAGCTGGTGGTTAATGCGGTGGTTAATCCGCTGACGGCGGTGCTGAGGTGTAAGAATGGGGAGATTTTTGAGGAGCGCGGGGATGGGTTGGGGGATGTTGTTGAGATGTTGGTGGATGAAGCGAGTCGCACGCTGAGAGCGCTAGTAGGACATCGGAGTAGCGAGGGTATATTACTTGCGCAAGATATCGATGGGAAAGAAGATGATGTAGTGACGGGGGCAGCCGCGGAAGAGAGTCTCGAAAGAACACGAGAGGAACTTCTAGAGAGATTCTCTTCCGCGCGGTTGCGGACAATGCTCTACAGTGTTGGCGAGAAGGTGGCGGCGAACACGAGCTCGATGTTACAGGACGTACAGGCTGGCAAGAAGACCGAGATCGAGGACTTTAACGGCTGGCTCGTGGAGACGGCGTGGTATCTTGGAGACGAGGACGGACTACCTGTCAACGAGAAGTTGATTTCGTTGGTTGAAGACGCGGCGGTGCGAACCAGAGGTGAGTTGGTTAAAGAGCTTCAAGGTAGTCGGAGCTAGGTTGGTTGGTATGTGTGTGCGCATGTATATCATGTTATAATCCTAATGATAGACAACATTTTATGAATAGGGATTAGTCAAGGGTAATAATGGTAAATGAAGTGCTTTCGTAACTCTTCATCTCTGTTAGAGCCACTTGTCATCGTAGTCTTTAAATAGCTCTACACGCTGTATACCCTTACGGAGGTCCTTCCTCTTCGCCCCGGCGTTAAATATACCAACTAACTAATTTATCTTATCCATCTATCCATCCCTCAGGTTCAAAGCGAGCAACAATCCGAACGCAACTAGACAGTATTTCATAGGATCTTAGAACGAAACGAGTCTTGCCGTGACAGTATTCGTGCGCGGATCTGAGGTTTGGAGATGTGATAATAAGATTACAATGATGAGGAAGAGCCGAAACAGGCATATGAATAAACCAAATAAGTACTAGGTGATAAAGCCTTATAACTTAATATTAACTAACTACGAAAGCTTGTGGCTATACATACTGAACATGTCCTTTGTTCTAGACGTCTCATCTAGAACCCCTGACATCTATAGCCCATTTATACACATTGCCAAATGCTTTCTTTCTACCTATGCCGAACTCACAAGAACATACCACTGCCTCTGGTTCCTCGTTTCTAGCCATAGGTTACCGGCTGCCACCAACTGGGGTATCTCCAATCTGTCATACATCTCAGCCATCTTCTTAAGTATGATGAGGTAGATGATGTTCCACTGAGCGCCTCATGCACCTTACTCTCAAGTTCCAGCTCCTATGCCCTAAACTCGGGCTTTTCATGCAAATTCTTGATTGATCGTTTAATCTCCTCCGGGGGATCCGTATACTGTAGGTAAGGTTTATTTGTATTTTGTCCTTCTTAATTTGTTGCTTCCTGGAAGTTTAGGCGTCTGTCATGGCTCGGTAGTAGTCTAACTAGAAGTCGGGTACGTTGCGAGGGTCTGTCCGCATGATCCCCCCTCCTTTTCTCCCCCTTTCCCCCGTACGCGCTTGCGCGGGCGGGCAACGCAGCTAGTCATAAGGCAACGAGAAACGTCTTGCTAAATAGATGGGTCCGAATACCTTCCCCCTATTCCAGGTACTTGCCCAATTCCATATCCATTCGAGGTCTGCGAGGCCCAGAAATCATGCACCTAGAGACCTCTTCTAGCATGCTTCGTGGAATAGCGTTTAAAAACATGTTCATAGTATTTGCATCGCTGCTATGAAGCTTTGCGCAGCACACGGCGGCTAGGGAGGGACGCAATCTACTACTAGGAGCCATCACCTCCATGTCAATCCATATATCGGCCGATATCTCCAGATTGACAGTGCTAGTATTCTAAGGGTCTCTATGGCCTCTCATTCTGGCATATCGAAATTTGTCATACCGCTAAATTTGTAATTGTTCTTTTGATAGGCCTTGATAGCCTTTAAGGCATTTTGTACATTCGCGTATAGCTTTGTTTCTGAGGGTTGTTAGCCTGGTTTGATCAGAGTCGGGTGTTGTACTACCTTATGCAAGTCATATGTTTGTCGAGGCTTATGCGCGATCTTGTTGGTGAAGCTACCAATTTGTGAGGATTCTTAGTGGAAATGAAGTTGGTGTGGATAAGTCTTTTTGCCTTTTTTGACCATGTTTGCTCTCCATTCTTCATTGCGGTCGGCGATGTGCTTGATATATTCATCGATACCGATGAGGTCGTTGGGGGCAGAAACAATGCATCTAAGGTCGGAGTCAAGGCTGCGATAAATCTGCTCCATTTGTTGGATTTCATCGTTCATGCGAAAGGCACGGCAGGTTCGCAGGAGCTCCATCGTCCAATTGTGTATCGACATGCCTTTGAGACAGTCTTCTTCAGTGTATTCTGCGGTAGGGAGCTTTTGCCAGGCAGCTCCGGGAGTCATCCGAAATTCATCGAATAATTTCCCCAATGCGTAGTCGTTGTCCCTGAAAATAGTGTCTCGATCGTCTTGGGATAGCATGCCTACCTTCCACCAAATCTTCGCATTCGCAATATAAGCTCATCGCTTTAGCCTCCTCCCGGTGTTCGTGGGAACATCAATGACTTCGGGGTACGCGCCGGGGTTGCCGGTGCTTGAACCACATCTTCGTTGTCGTTTTATTCGATGTCCTCAGCGTAACATACCAATTGAGAGCTTTTCCTCTGTATAGCTCGTGTAAATGGGCAGTTATGAGTCTTTCACGGGCCTCGTTGGTCCTCGCTCGTTTGACCGCGTCGATGAATAGGTTGACGTTACGAAAGGAGCTTCGGTTGGGAGTATAGATGAAGCATTTGGAACAAAAAAAAACATGTTCAATATGTATAGCTGCAGGCTTCTGTAGTTTAGGTAGGTTGAGTTGCTTGCGGAACAACGAAATTATTTCCGTGCTGTTTGGTTCCTCCTTGTGACAGCTTCATCGTGGATAGGAAGAAGAGCCATGGCTTTTTTTACGAGGTAGGTTAGGTAGTGTAGAACTGTTCTTGTACTACGGGTTGTTGATTCTCAATGACTATGGGGTCACCTCGTGCTTGCCTCTAATCCTGGGGCCTCGTTCCTGCCCTGGGGCTTCGTTCTTGCCCTTGATACCGAGCAAGTGACTCACATCTGTAACTGTCCGCAACTTTAATTTACCCTCATGACGTAGATCACCTAGCAACATACATCCATTATACGTAGGTCTAGTTATGAGTAGTACCTACCTACATAACTCTTCTAGATAATTCAGGTAGTTCCGTAGCTATTCTCACAATGACGTATTTGCTCCTTCTCTACTTAGCTCATAGACAAGAGGCAATTCATACCTCCTCTTATACTTGGAATATGTTTATATGGCATAAAATATCAAGGATTGAATATTTACTTAGGTAATTATGAGTATATAATATAGCAGGATGTTGGGCATATATATTGTGGTTTAGTTTATGTTATTATGTGCCGTAAAATGGTAGATGCGTTTGAATTGAGCTACGCGGAGAACTTGGTCTTAAATTTGATCATTCAAAGTAACAGACAAGTCTCATGTACAGAATCAACACGGCAGGCTTCGAAATAATATTCTAAAGTTCTAATATTGCTTTCTTTAATACTTCTTCCTGCTGTCCTTACGTTGAAACAATAACTAATATGTAATAGACAATGATTACCCAAGATAACTCAGGGCTAATAGCGATGGATAAATTTCTAATTACTAAATTACACTAGGCTCAAGCTCTTATACCTACCTAGGTAGGTAAAACGGACAATTATCTTAGAGGCAGGCACACTATCATTCACCAATCACAGTTTGTAGGGTTGACCTTTAGCTGAACCTTAAAAAGGTACGCCAGAGAAGGACTATTCTGATAGACGAAACGTCTGCTTGAATAAGTATTTTCTTCTTAATACAACTTCCCCATGACAAACATCGACACCATTATCACTCAGAAAATCCGGGGAAGCTAATAAGGGATGTGAGAATACCTATACTACCTACTATGTAATCGTGGCATGATGCTGCCTTCCCACACACAACCACACAACAATAAGCCCCCAAACAAAGAGACCCACAGCTTTTGTCGAATTTGGCAGGTTATCCCCGAGAAAATTATGCGATGGAAGTACTTCGGCGTGGAACTGATGCTCGGCAGAGGTTATGGCCTGGCAAGGAAGCCTTAGACTTGATCCCATTCGTCTTCTACTCATGTACCCAGGCTTCTACCTCGTCATTCAAACCTGTTTGGCTGTGTCTGACAATGGGGGTCGACTACTATTCACCGCATGGTATCGCATAAACTCGGAAATGCGAGTTTGACGGGCCGCAGCTGCAGAAGACTACATACTTCTACGATTGATAGTCTCTGAGTCGCCGAAAATCTTCTCGTTGCCTGCAAGCCGTCAGGGAAGTGAGGTTTCGTGAGTATTTCGTGGAGCCGAGCAAGCTAACTCGGCCATGGGCTATTGAACCTAGACAGCCTGCCAGCCTGCTCTTTGGTGAGGCGTGGAGGTTACATTAATACGAGATCGATATAGGCCGTCGACGACAGGGTCGAGAACTTAACATACGTATTATATCCCCCCCGTTCCCTGGTACGGTTCTTCCACTTCAGAGAGAAGTACAAGTACGAATGAGTACTAGGTAACAACACGCTTCGGCTAGGCAAATAGATGCTACGCCTCGTCTTACCTCGCACACCATCGCCTTTTTCGCTCGTTAGGCCTCAAGAGTCAGATAGGGCCTGTCACCCTTTCAGCCCGACGAGCACTAATGCACAAGCTTGTTCAAAGGGCTGACCTTATCACGGCCTCGTACTATCCTCTACACTAAAGTCTGAGATCATCGCTGCGCGAACGCTGTAATACACTATGCAAATTCTCAGGCTGAAGGTTGACGGTTGACCGCCTTTAAACGCGTACAAGTTATACAGCGATCACGTCCCGAGGGACTTCGGAGCATATGTCAACTTGCAATGGTTTTTTGAATGCTAAAAAAACTTGCATCTTCTCACGTCCTTATACTGACGTTACGTAACCCCGATGGAGCCTACGTTTCGGATCGCTAAAGTGAGGGCCTAAATGCGGTATCAGGTAATTGTTTAACATTCTAGGTCTCTTGTGGAATCGGGATATCTACGTCTACGACATTAATCTCGATGCATCAGTTAAACATACACTCAAGAAAGAAGCACGCCTACAGAGACCGAACGTTGTGTAAGTTGAACTTGATAGAAGCTTCCCGGCCTCTATAGCAAGCTCTATGCTGTATTTGCGTTGTGGATATGAAGTCGGAGATTTCGCTCAAGCTAAGTCTACACGGGCCTCATCGCGATAACCACAGACAATCAGATCTGAGGATTGCAACACGATATAAGTGTCTTGCATATGACGATGTCAAATGGAAATCTCCGATTGGTTATGCAGATCGGAGCGGATACACCAAGCATTGTCGTTCAACGTCTTATCTGGTCTTATGAGCACAATTAAACAATGTCTAGACGGGCCTTTCAATCTGAGAGGATGTTGAACGGTTTGTCTTGAAGTGTCTCTATGGCCAGCCGGGCTCTCGCTAGGAGCCGCGAGCGGTTCACCATCCAATCAAACAGAAAAGACTTTCTTACGAGGAGATCCGATTTTCAGCCTCAACTCGCCAAAGCACTTACAACAACGTTAGATAAGGAATCGGACAGTATTTAGGCGCGCTATGCAAACACACACACGTATAGCAATTATCTCATTTCCGTAGCTCGGCCCCTTTCCAAGTTAGGACTACAATTACCTATCAGACAGCATTGCGAATTATACGTGCATGGCGTGGCGCATAGAGCAAGCCCAAAGCGGTCGAAAGGCTCGGTCTTTAGACTCGCGCCGAGCATGGAGAAATTGCTCAGCCTTTTTAATCTCGAAAGCCGTCGATGGGACCATGACAGCTAGATGCTAAGGCTACCAGGTAGGAGATCTCCGTGCGCCGCGATTTGACATGACAGATCCGGATCGATCGGAATCTGCTGTGCGCTACTAAATCGGATCCTGTCATATTGGCCCCAAGAGATCCGAGCTTTCAACTCTAATCTAACTTGTAAACAGAGACGATGCTGGAAGCGATAAGCCCCATACGGTCCCTTAATATTATCTATCCCCCAGCATGACCAAGCATTGTCCTCTAAGGTAGGTGTGATAGTCAATTGACACTGCGGGAATGCGTCGCATACTGCAGCCTGCATTGCCGAGACCTGACTGGCTGGTAATCGCTGGCTGGCTAGCTGGCTGGCTGGATGGAATGGTAGGCTAGGCCTAGCCATCATCCATGTTCACATTGCAGCATGGCTTTCGTGCAGCCAAATTCCCCTAAACATGTAAACGATGGCTTTTTATATGCTGCAGCAACAGGGGCGCTCGTTGAGGACCCCTCATTGTAGGGCCGGCGGCAGTTGAAACGAGATCCCACACCGCTGGAATATATTACTAGGTAACGTATATCGCTTGTGCAGAGCCTGTGCAGAACCACGTCAGCATTGACAGCAGGGGCGGCACGGTACGCGACGGGTAAATCAGCCATCCATCGTGGTCGCCATGCTTAAGTTGCTGCAAAGCTTGTAGAGGTCTTGGAGATCCTGCAACGACAATGGCAGCGAATAGCAGGGATCTACTAACCCTGTTGCGTCTACACGTCTTGGGGGGATAGACGCCGACCGAACTGTCGACGTATTACACCAACTGTGGCTTCACAGAGCTTCCTAAAAGCCATACCAATTCGTCTTTTACTATATCATGCATGATACGGTCCGACCCGACTCAAATTATAAACCATTAGGATATGGCATAACGCCTCTTTTCCCGAGATGGATTCCTGGGCATGGATATTTATCCCAAATGACAGTTGGTGGGTTAATGCTACAGGAATCTTGATGGCGTACCCTCGTAGATAGCTTCTAGGATACCACGTGCGTATCAGAACAAGCGATGAAGCACGGTACGACATGTCAGTGGGCATGGCAGACAAGCGGACGAATAACATGCCAATGTCTCTGCCAACAGAGGGAAACGGGCGGCGCTATATGCAAAAGAGACATAATCTCACCGCAAGACAAGACAGCTGTTACTTGAGTCAACAAACGCCTGTAGACTTGTCAGCACCTGACTAGCCGTCCGCCGGGATTCTAGATCAGGAGGTCCCGGCCGAATCTAGCTGACGGGCATTACCTCAAGTTAAGGCTAAGACACAACAACAGCCTAACGACGGAAGGATATATTGCCGCGTTGGTAGTATTGCTCGTAGATGTCAGAGTAGCACCGCCATATACAGCTTCTCTAAGAGGTATACCTATTTCTTCGAGAGGGGAAAGACGGACGTGAGGTCGAGTTGCATGTCATGGGCAGCGTGTGAGAGCCATCGCAATGCGTTCTGTGCAAGTACGTGTAAGTTTCGAATCTATATGAGACTACGCACACTACGGCCGGCCAACGGCATGAACGAATTCGATCATCTCGACTCTCCACGGTCTCCGCAATCGTTGCGCGCCAGGGACAGCCGAAAGCTAGGAAGCTGAACCATTGGAGGGTGGGAGAACAGCAGCTATGCTCGCAGGGGAAACTAGGAATAGTGGATTTGGGGGTTATATCGCAGCCGTGTTATATGTGACAATGACAGCGCACACACCACACACCACACACCACACACACACCATAAACCACAGGCACACAGACGCACACACGACAATTAACACAACTACTCCTCAGGGCCAATCCGCTGTCTCGGTGGCGAACCTCGGAACCAAGCCCCTAACCCCATCACAGAAGCAACAAGAGCCGGCGTGATTAGCGTGCAGCTCTCTCGAAGGGTACTGTAGATCGAAGTTCCCAGATCAAGAGAACGAACGTGGTACCTAGCGTTCTTCTTTTTTTTGCACGTTTTCTTTTCCTTGTTAGCTGCTGTTAGCTGCTGCTGTTACTGTATCTTCGGTTCGAAGGTACTGTACATGGCACGTCTACCGGTCTACCACACTTATGCTATGCGTGTGGAAGCCGGTCGAGACTTTTTGCACATACGACTACGCGTATCTATGTGTAATACATATGTGTGTATGTGTGTACATACATACCTACATACATACAATGCCGGACCGCAAGGCGGTGAATCCGGTTTCCGGAATCAGGCCATAAGGGCCATCCAAGGAGTCGTGCCCTTCGAGTTTCGAAACTCGAAGCTGCTTGTATGTAAGTAATGTACCTAATGTATGTGTATATGTAAGTGTTTCTGCGTTATCTGGCAGGCTGGCGGAAAAAGCAGGCAAAGACGTGCTACGCCATGCCATGCCATGCCATGCTATGCGCCGCCTCGTCTTCACGCTCCGCTTTGCTCTGGCTTTACTTCACTTTTTATGCACAGTATCAACTTGTCGCCGGGGTACCCACGGAGAAACCGCGTGGCCCTGAAGCACAGCATAGCTTCTGTAAAGTGTGAACCTATTGCAATGCGTGTACTGCGTATAATGTCATGTATGTATATATGTATGTATGTATGTAGATGTTAGGCATCTATCAGCTTAGCTTGTAAGTGGTAGGGATATACTAAAAGAGAAAGAGAGAGATAACTAGAGAGAGCCACAACACGCTTCATGTTTCACGCCCGAAAACATTCCAGGGGGGGTCTCCAGAAGAGGGGGGCAAAAAAAAAAAAACCCGTGCACACAAATAAGTGGCTGGCATTATAGACAACAATGACAACAATTCATCGCCTGGAACTCCCTCGTTCCTTATCGGGACTGGATTCGACGGGCGAGCTCCGCAGTAAGCTCGTCGCGATGTAACACGAGTCGGTACGAAATCTACTACGTGCTACTTCGCGGCCTTGTCGAGATTAATACTAAACGATGCTAATAGCGTAATAGCGATACTAAAACATAACTAGTACCTGAAATCATGTACGAATTAGATATGCGGGCCGTTTCAACACCACCACCACCACCGCCGCCGCCGCCACTGCATGTCATTGTTAGAACGTTTCAAACATGGTAAACGTGACCTTCGCAGTGGGAATATCGCAAAGACCCTGCGGCCAATTGGCAATTATTATTAAGGTACTAAGTAGATCAGAAGGTAGTTTAGTTTAGTCATGAAATATCGTATACGGATTGCCTTTTCCTTGCGGGCGTGTGTGTCATTGATTTTCGCCCACGATTCCCTAGCTCTTTTTACCAGTGTCCAAAACTTTTCCATCCCTCTCTTGCAGTCCCGCGCCTAGATGTCATCGACTTTCTGTAAGCTTGGACTCTGATTCGTTCCGCGCTCTCTCGCGTTCATGCTCCTTACGCACTTGAACGGGGCCAAAAAGTCTTTTGGCCGAAACGTTTTACCTAGCATGGCTAGGGCGTGCTTCTCGGAAAGTACGGTGAGGCGCATCTCTCTCTCTCTCGTGCCTTGTTGTACTTTGGTATGTTTTTTTTATCCCTGGGTATCTTCTGCCAACTCCTCGATCCGTTCTTCTTCTCGCGGATCCCCGTTTCCCAATCTGCCCGAACCTGCAGCCAAGTTGCGGTCAACGTAAAAATAATCTGTAGTGTCTCTTCCTTCCGTTAGGTATAGTCTCGTGCCCCTGCTTCGGTAGGGCACTATCGTCGTAGTCATGTGGCGATGGTGATCGAAAAAAAGACAAAGTAGAGTAGAAGCGTTCGTCGTCTCGAAGCGCATGCGTAGTAAATGTATTGACTTGAGTTAGGTATTTTGTAAAATCAAACGAGCTTCAAAGCAACACCCCCCAACCCCCTTCCCCTTTCCCCCATGATTTCTAGGTTTTAGTCGTCAATGTGTCAATATTACGAAAAGACATGCCCAGTCGTGGTTTGGTATCTCTAGTATTAAGCAATTACCCGCCCCGGAGGCCAGGAGAAGGTAAACCCTGGCCTATTACTATTTGTTGTACAGTATTCCCATTGGTGATAATAGTAAATATGTGTTTGTAAACATGCTTGATGCGTCGCGCGTTTTAGATCGGTGGATTCCCTAAGGCTAATTAGTCGTAGAGGCATGGTAGAATTCCCCTCTCTCCGTTACTTCTGCCGAGTCGATAACATTTCATGGCTAATTCCTAACTCGCGGCTTCCGATGTAAAGTAACGTATTATGGTATTCGACGGCGGTGCTGAGTCGTCTTCGTCTTGTTGTCACTCTGATCCTAGAGTGTCGATGATGGTGGCGTCTGCTTCTGGTTACACCTCAACCCTGAAGCTGCTGCGGATAGATGGTGTCCCCGGCCCCAGGAGCTGAAACTCCTGGCGGGGACGCTGATTGCTATAAGTTTTCTTCCCCAACATCCGCCACCTCTCCCGAAAGCTGCGCGGCCCGCTCTCGGCAAGCCTGAGGAGTAAACCCGGGCCCAACTTTGTTGGAAACGAAGCGCCACTTCTCGTTTTCGTAGTCTTGAAGCGCCGTCCGAAGCTTTTGGTCCTGTAAATTTGTAATTAACATCCGCATACCTGCAAACCCGCGTAAATTGTGCACGCCAGTCGAGGTGAACTTACTGTCTCGTCCGTCCATTGAGTCGTCTTTGCTTTGAGCTTCGTACAATACCGGACTTGGAGCGTACCCGAGGAACGCCCCGGGAAGAAGTCTGCGATCTGTTTCCATGTCAAGCTTTTGTTTTCCTTCAGGTCGATAAGTAGTGCGTCATCTTCCGGCGTAAACTTTAGCTTCGGCCCTCTTGGCCTCGGTGCCGGCGGTGGCATTCCGGCTTGTCCTACTACGCTCGGAGCGCCACCCCCAGCGGCCCCCATGCTCCCGTCACCTTCGCGTCTCATCATCTTCGAAGGCGGCCCTTGATCTGGTAAGCGGTGATGATGGTGAGTTGGAGCTGCGCCGGCAGCCTGCGCATATGAAGCCCCCATAGACTGCTGCATGTTATCTAGATCGCCCGATTCAAGTTCAGACATGCCACCGGATAAGTCAAGGTCGTCTGGACGACTACGTTTCGTCCCAGCGCTATGCGGCTGAGTAGGTGTCATAGCCGGGTATAACGGCGGACCAACCACGGAGTGAGGCGACTGTGTTGGGCCGTAGTGCGAAGGCTGATGAGCCATATGGCGAGCGGCCGGGTGGCCGCCGAGATGCGCCGGATCCATTAGGATCTGGTGGTGATGGGCGGGGTGATGCTGCGACATGGTGTGATGAGAATGCGACTGCGCCGATTCATGTAAACTCCCGTGTCCCGCGTGCTGCATTGGATTTCCTCTGTGGTGATGCGTGTCGTATGCGTGTTGAGACTGGCTCTGCTCGCCCGGATGCGATTCTTGTGGAGAGTAATCGACATTGTAGTCCGGTCCTACTCGATAGTTGCCCGCCAGTGTGCCGTCGATGCATGGGTTCCGCCAGAGCGAACCGCTCTGGACGGTCGCCGGAGTCTGTATAGAAAGAATTTGATGGACTGGAGCCCCTCGGGGCTGCTGCTGTGCGGGCGGTTGTAAGTTGGGAGGGCGAGTCTCGCGCGTGGGATCGATGATGATGCCCGTCCTGTCGGATTGGGGTTGAATAATTAGTAGGCTGAGCACTTACTTGCCCAGCAGCCGAGTACATATGCTGTTGCAGTAGTAGTCGTCGGTGAGTTGGTCAGGTGCGGGATGTTGTAGGATTGTGTGGTGTTAAGGTAAGATCGTCTTGCAGGGCGGCGAATATCCGTAAGCCAAAGAAATAAAAATCAAGTTCGGGGCAGCCCGCGCAGACTCTTTAACAGCTCACTGGGACCTAAGCTTGGCCGAGAGTATGGGGATTCGTCCCTTTTCTTGGATTCCTTAGCTGGGTCTATTATATGGTAACAAAACGTCAAAGTGGAAAATGAACAGCAGCGGGCAAGGGATGCATTATATCGTCTGATCTTCTTTTCTCGTTTCTGTCCAAGCAGGGACGAGCTAGGGAACGACCCGCAAGTACTATGACAACCTGGAACTACCTCTCTTTTTTCATCCACAGGTTAAAGCACTTGACCTGATTTGCCATGTGCGAGACAAGTATCGTTCCTGAACGGGTGTGGAGATTCGGTTACCTCGCCCGGCGATGACGGTAGCATAATTTGGTGATCTTATGCCATGGTCAGCTTGCCGGATATAGAAGATACCCCAGCCGGAGGTTATGATGCAACTGGGGCAACGATAAACCCACAACGGGTGAGGTACTCGGACACTGACAGGGTGAAAAAGTACCAGTTGTCTTCTTGTGACCCTGGTCGAGCCTTTCCCCAAATAAGATTGCCAAAGGTCTAAGTAATTCCAAAGACAGGAACGTCTGGAAAACGCATAGAAGCTTACAAAACGAGACGGCCGAATAGAGAAATGAACAGCTGAAACGGGACCTACCGCACAGTTGGGCAGTGTCTGTACACTACATAGAGCATGACAAGCGAATTATCGAGGTGGGCCGCACCCAGGCTCACGACAGAATTGGCCCCTGTTCAACCTTTTTTTCACCCAGGGAAGCCAAGGCAGTGGGCAATCCCCGGAGGGTCAGAATGCCGGTTGACTGGATGTACTGGATGTGTATGTACGTGTATTAGGTGGCGCGCCCAAGCTCGGCTGCTAGGGCAGTTAGAAAGGAATGGGTCACTCTTCTCCCTCGTCCGCTTGGAGGGGATATATTGGAACTGGGGTGGGCTATAATAAGAACTAAGAGAGCTCTGATCCCTGACACGCCATAGGGCGAGTGAAATTGGTAAGGTAGCAAGTAGCCACAGAACGCGCTTGACAGATTGCCGAGCGAAAAACAAGGGAAAATATGACACTAGAGCCACTAACGGTCTGCTCCCAGGATAATCTGGCAGCGCAGCAGGCTACCTGGCGACCTCGAAGTCGCAACACCCATGTATACTGGGACCTGGTTTCTATGCGGTTTCTATGTCAGCAGATTTATCGAGCTATGCTGGGACGTGTAGGGATATGTAAGAGGTAGGAGTAAGGGGGCGTCATAGATGGAGATGGGAACAGAAACAACAGCGGCCAACAGAGATTAGCAGACTTACGTTTCGGGAGATACTATGATGAAGAAGAAGATGATGATGCTTGGATCACCAAGCGGGAGCGATGGGGCTTGAGATACTTGGCGGGATAGCTAAGCAGGGTCATGTTGGACACGATTCTCTTTCCTAGCTCTCTCTCGTCTAAGGTACATGTCAAGTGACTAAAAGTCGTCATCGTATCGTTAATCTAGAAATGATAATGATACCACGCCGAATGCTAGCGACGGTCCAGAGATTGGGGGCAAGTGGTTCCAATTCTCTGGATCCCGGTTCTAAGGCATCGTAATATTGCGCGATTCAATGCGATTGACGTGGGAGGTCCAATGGGCGGTGGGACGTCGAGGCTGGTTTAGGTTGGGACCATTTTGAACAACGGTGTAGAGCTGAGGAACCTAGAAGAGACAGGAGCTTCGGGGGATGGAGCTCTCTCGCATGAACGAAACACGTTTCAATACCTACAAGCAATTAAAAGATCAATTATGCCATTTGACCATCATGTCGGCTTCTAGAAGAATGGAAATTGCTTCTAGGGCGTGACCAGGGGTGTTTCAGACGTCTGAGCCGCCCCGTCTGGTACTAGCCCATGTGGAGTTGCGACGTCGAAGGAGAAGCGCAGAGATGGCAGTTTGACGATTGATAATTGATAATTGACAATTGAGGAATAGAAGCAAAAGTGGAATTACAACTAAGAGAAATGATGTCAAGCACGTCGTAGAGAAAGAACTGCAAGATCGGAAATTGCAAGCGATCTGCGTATACACTAGGCAGGTACGGAAAGTAAAGTTTAGTTAGACATGTACATAATACGTAAGTAGTGTAGAGTTCGGGCCTAATCCGAGGGTAAGGTTCAGAACTATCCTCAACCGGGCTATTATTAGAAATCCCCTAACCTAGTGTATAGCTTAGGTAGGTAATCCGTACCTAGCTCTTATACTAGTTCGATAGCTACCCATACCTTGCTTCGTGCACGGAAGGAAAGAATTAAGACCCCGGCACTATCAAATATTTTGAATCTTTTTTTTGTCTGTGTCGTTCTTTTGGAGAATAGGAAAGGGCATACGGAGATGGAGGCGTCCGTAGTTTCTGAACGAATAATTACATATGAACTAAATTTAGTTTCCCCTTAACTACCCCTGACTCCTGAGACCCAACTGATGTACGTCCTTTCTTACAACTACCGACGCATTACACATAAACGAGGGCAAATAGAGCATTGTCTCCATATTCGGATAAAGCGCAAGCCATTGGCCCGTTAATTATAGGACGCATTGTCAATTACGGTCTCCTCGGCCTTTCTTCTAGAAGAATTCTATTTGAAGAGCCCTGTCATTATGTCTTAGGTATTCCCCCCCCCTCCGGCCCCTGCATCCGACCGCTCGGGTGGGACCCAGCTGCGGCCCATAGCATGTCCTGCTTTGCATGCACGCAAGGGACAGACAATGCAGCCAATTTAAAGCTCTTTTGTCTGTTGTGTAGCGTCGCGTGGATGGAGATAGCTTCAAGTTGAAGTAACTATATTTACGCATCTCATTGATATTTACGAGTACGGCATTTGTCTTGGCTTATGCGCTATCTCCTTATCATAGCGTAATGCTATGCGATACTGCACTCGTTTCTCTAAGCGCTTAGTCCTGACAGTGACAGGAGTCTATCTACCTCCTAGGTAAGGTATTGTCGGTGAGGAGTTCGCATTGTTCATCAATGCTCTATCTTCTAACGCTCGCAAGTTGTTACCACCAACATCCGTGTCTCCTGATCTACACAACCGGGTAGCTGGTCATCAGACAATAATCCTTTTACGGAATGCCTGTCATCAACATTCAATTATTATTACATAGTAGTTTTTTTACGGAGATTCTGAGGTTGTAGTTTTCTGTTCGAGACGCGTAATGGATACAATGTTCTCCGTCTCCGTCTCCTTTATGTTTTGGACCGTTTCAAGCTCCACTTTCACATTCACATTGGAGCTCCGTGTTAAACCAAGAGACCCACTTCTATACCGCTGGATTGGTTTATCGGCACTCACAGCTAAAGCTCAATTATGGTTAGGAGAGATTATATCGGACTGGCCGCAATTACACGGAGCATCGCTGGATATCTCAACAAATTTATTGAAAAAATTTATTGAAATAACTCGACATCACGTACAGATTACGTATATACAGAAACCAGGCTTTAACTAACTAACTAACTCTAGTTAACTAACTGGGTAGTTAAAGCAAACTAGCAACTCTTTACTTTATCGGTGTTAGTTATACCTTTCTATAAAAAACCGGGAAGCTCCGTTTGTTACTTGAATCATACCTAAATGGTTCTATATACAACGTCAGGTAATTCAGCATCAGGTCAGCCTCATTCCAGGTGGTTGCGTGCCGAATAACCATGTCGATAATGCACATCCCACTGGGGAAACACTCCTTGACAGGTTGGCAGGTTGGGTACATTGTGGGGATCACAGACCTTAACTGTTGCGCATGGACGGCGGCAGGGCGGGTATGAAGTACACGAGTACACAGCCTGGATAGCCCTGGTTAGAAAATCTCCGCAACGTTCACGACCCTCGCTCGCCCAGAGATCCGGATAGATATTGTATTCCGTACTGGTACATGCCATGACAGCCTACAGGACTATAATACATACGACGTTACAACTTACAAAGTGGACTCTCTACATAGAATGACTAGCCAAAGCTAGCAATAGATCAAATGTCCTGATGTCTAATAGATCCGTAAGAGGATCTAACCTGATCTACACGAGAGTCCAGGTATGAGCGCATGAACGCATAAAGAAGAGCAATTTGCTTTCTTATACCCTCTTCGCTCGATTCAGTATGCCCATTTCGGCCGCGCCATAACCTCGGCACTACGTGCGCCCCAAGCTTTTTGCTTAAACTGGCAGCTCTCATCTCAACTCTTCATCTCCATTGCGGCGAGAATTGATCTCCAATTATGCATTTCGTCCCGAAGCCCGCCCCCCCTGTAAACTCACACAACTTATCATCACCCCCCACCGTCTTTCCCTCCCGCCGCTTATCAAGCTACTAACTAACTAACCCGTCCCATAGGTAGTGTAGTATACCCAAGTACGTGCGCGTGCTCATCCCGCGCTAGGACGACGAGCTAGTTGCCAGGCTCGGAGAACTTGCCTGGAGGATTTATCAGTTCTACGATTACGGATCACGGGCAGCTTGGGGGTTATCAAACTCCATCTAGGTATCTTGCTTAAGTGAGTGAGCTCGTAGGATTTTAGGTATACCTACATCGCTACGGGATTGGGCAGCGATCGTGACCTCTGCTTTTGCTTTTTGTTTTTTCCCTCTTCTTCTTCGTCACCGAGCCCCGGCTGCTTTCGTCAGCGCAAAAGTTGGGGGTAGGAGGGAGGAGGGAGGTAGGATAGCTTACCTAGCTTTCATGCGAAGTGCCTGCATACGGTAGTAGACTATATGCGACCAACCGGTCCCAGGGACGGCCTCCTGCGGCCGCTTTCTTAACCACTTTGCGCCGCATCTACATTCCCCATCTGGGTCTGGCCTGAGCTAATAACGTCGTCCATCAAGGAAAAATCTATAATATACCGAACAAACTTGGTCGCTAAAACTCCGCTACTCCACCCCAGAGTCGGGTGCGCAATCCGGATCGATGCTCGAGCGGGCAACCTGTCAAAATCGTGCAGGCTTATCAGCCTTGATCTCCACATCCGCCTCATTTGATAATTGACGGGCGGGCACGAGCTCGGCGTGGTACATGTCTTATAGGTACCTGGGCTGCTGGGCCGAACCTGGCAGCCTGGGTAGCATTT